CTCTCTCTCTCTCTCTCTCTCTCTCTCTCTCTCTCTCTCTCTCTCTCTCTCTCTCTCTCTCTCTCTCTGATGCAGACAGTCCGTCGTCGTGCATCAACACACGAAGCCGTCACCCCGCTTGGTCCTCCTGCGCCTGTTAGGTTCGCTCCGCGCCCACAGTCCGTCGTGGCCCGCGTCAACCCCGCGCATTCGGCACCAGCTCGTCGGGTCGCCCGACTCCCGCTTCACTCACCTCTTACTTCGCTCTTGTGCCGACCCTCTCGATCGCGCAACCCCGAGCGTCCAGCAACTGTTAAGAGAGCAAGTTAATCGCACAGCCAGAATTTATAGCGTGCATGCATGCGCGAAGAACACGGAATTACAAGGACGTAGATAGATGGGGGAAAGGGAGTGCTTACGTTTGCGTGGTCGGGCCGCGGCGTGGGGGACGTACCCAACTCCACGCATCGATCCGAACATGCAAACACGGGTACCCAGATAGGGCAGGGAGAGAGGAAGAAACGAGGCGGGAAGAATAAGGAGCAAGAAACAGAAAGATACAGTTACAAAAGTGTGCGCCCAAAATTACAGTTGCAAAAAGGATTAAGGCGCCAATCAATCAAGGTCCCGGCACAGCAGCAAGAAAGAGCGCGCGAACACGCAAAGCAGCGTCCAAGAAAAACAGAAATTCCAAAAATTCCAAAATTCCTAGCTAGCCTGCCGATATTATAAAAAGGTCCGAAAAGAAAATCAAAATTCTGAAGGCCGTATGGCTCCGACCAAGATTCGAAAAGAAAATTCAAAAAGGAAATTCAAAAAGAGACACCGAAATTCCCGCGCAATGTCTACGCGCCCAAAAGTCCGACAAACAAAATTAAAAGAAGGGAAACGAAAGAAAAGAAGTGACGTCAACGTTTATTAATCGCACACTCGGCGCGCACTCCGCATCCATCCGACCAAGTTTCACCCCCTTTTCCCCGTGCATTCCCGAATTGTCCCCAACTATCATCAGGGGCTCGTGCGAAAACGAAGAAACAACGAAGAAACCAAGGACACACATGCAATTTTTCCATGAACCCGTCCAGTCGACGTAGGACCCCGCTTAGCACTTCGCGCCGAAAGTCGCGCATTACAGAAGCTAGTTCGTCACAGCCCGGCCTTCCTTTTCCCGTGCACCGCGTGCGACGCTTCGCCCCCTCACCCGCCGGCAGTCTGCGCGGTTTGATTCTCGGTGCCGGCCCGGACCCTCCCTCGCCCCGCAAGTGTGCCGCTGGCCATGGCCCTCGTCGCGAATACAGGCCCCGCAAATTTCCCCCACGAACCGACACCCTCGCGCACCACCACGACCCTCGTCGCAAATACGCCCCCCACGAACCGACGCTCTCTCCTCGGTCCCCTGCGGCACCCCGCGCCCCACACTCAGCGCCGCAATTTCCCCGCTCCTGACTGGCCACGTCCCGTTGGTGCGCCGAGCGTCCCACTGCTGTGCCGTGGGCCATCAATTTTCCCTGTGCCCGCTGGGAAACGTCACGTCGGGCCCTGTGCAACTTTTAATAGTATTGAGATGAGATTGAGATGAGATGAGAAGCGTAATGCCTGCTTGAAATGTGAGAGTAGGGGGGGCAGCGGGGTTTTTGTGGCGAGGAATCTTCTGTCTCTCCTTGCTAACCATAAGAGCCAGAAAGCCCTTGCTCTGAAGATCAACGATAGTTTGCCTGCTGTTTCTCCAAGCCGGATTCCATCCTGCCCGTGAAGACCAAGTTCTGATCCTAAAAAAATGTTTTTTTGTAAGCTTTGAACCAAAGTTGATTTAGGTGGGCCGGTAGGAGAGTGCTAGTAGTCTCGGACGAGTTCCTCTGGGCCGAGTTAGTCCCAGACTAGTTCTAGATTAGTACTAGTCCAAGGTCCAGCTAAGAGGATTAGGAAGCATGGCCTTAGGAGCCGGACAAGTGAGTATTTCGGAAAGTCAGTCTTTTCGTACAATTGATTGTATAAGGGTACCTTTTATCAGCCTTGGGCTGCCTAGGATGCTACCGGTAGTTTCTTCCGCTTCAGTGTTATCTCCTGTCGAGTAGATATGCGGTTCACGATGTAGGAAATTGGAAAGTCTACAGTAAGAGACTTTCTGCAGGCGTGAGCCTGTAAGCTAAGCTGGCTGATGCTGTCAGTAATCCGGGTTCAAGTGTGGGGTCCCCGGCCTCAGTTCAATTTTATAATGATTGGGAAAAAAAAAAAAAAAAAGTTGATTTTGGAAATCCCAGAAGCCTCTGGGAATGACACATTTCCCACCAAAACCTTGTTGCGGACACATACACCCACGGTTGCAAGACATAGGGTCTCGCTCCACTACTGTCCACTGTACAAAAACGGACAGTGGTACTTCGCTCCACTTACTGTCCACTGTACATGTGCAAAATGGCCTGGACAGTCTTTAGAAACCCCGTCGAAAATCTACTGTCCGTGAATGTACAGCTCCCAGCCTGCAAAATTTGTTTAGTGGAAAGTCCTTCAAGGGACTCACCCTGAGGACCCGAATTTGGACAGTGCACCTAGAGTCCGGGCGGACAAAATCCTTCGGACGCCCTGTCTTGTAGTTCCATCACTGCGTCCGTAGTGAACTCACGAATTTGAGAGGCGGACAGCGGACAGTAAGTGGAGCGATGTCACATTTTCCACTGTCTGCTGTACAATATTTCGCTCTGACAACTGTCCACCAACTGTCCGAAAATTTGTACAGTGGACAGTAGTGGAGCGAGACCCATAAGGTTACAACACTGACACCGTCTGCGACAGCGCGTTAGAAGGCCTCGACTCAGTAATTTATTGGGCAAGGCGCATATTATCTACTTCACGACAAAAAAAAAAGAAAAGAACATAATTGCAAAACCGCCCCCCCCCTGGGACCGACGTAAAATTGCAGCTTCGCGCCAACGCAAAGTGCTAGCTAAATGGCTAAAAAAATGAAAACGAACTCTTCTATTGGCCGGCGGACAGATACCTTAACGAAACCGGTCCTTATCGCCCTGCGCCGACGGCAACGGTCGCCGGATTTTTTTTTATTTTTTTTATTTTTTTTTTTTTCCTTAAAGGATAATTCTTTAAGCCCAACCAATTCAATTACCTGTCAAATCTCGACAGGACGGCCTTTCAGGCCTTTTTTATTGTCATTATAGTATTACGGGGAMCCCCGTAGCAGCCACATCCGTGCTCAAGCCTCCAACAAGGGAACGTGCGGGAGCTGCACCCACCAGCAGGTGCGATACCTGCTACAGCAGGTGGGCGATACCGGCCAGGGGTCAGCCGGTAGCATCAGGACCGAGCTTCTTCAATGGGCCAGTCACTGTGCCTCCCCTCCGGTCCCCTCCCCCTATGAACATCAGCAGTCTCTGCTCAATGCCACTCGGGGGGACCAACGGCATATCTCTAGGTGGCGGGCGCCAAGCTTGCCACTTGCGTGCCTTACCAACTGAGCTAGGCCGCTGGATCGGTCGCCGGATGTCACCTCTCGCCGCACGTAGTTGAAAACCATGGAGCCGTAGCGTTAATAGATGCTAGTGGGAGGAGGCTCCAGAGATGCAACCAGTCTTCTTTTTTTTTTTTTTTTTTTTTTTTTTTTTTTGAGGGCAGATGTTACAGAGCGAGTAGTCGTTTGGACGAGTGATGTGCAGGATTTTCGAGGTGTTCCCTCCCTAGTCCATAATAGGCATCCCGTTCCGCTCCTACGGCCTCACTCCTTTCCTCCCTACCAGTTTAGCACCTCCCTCACCTATAAAGCCTCCTCTCTGCCTCGTCACTGCAGTGCACTGCCTGTCGCGTTGCTGGCATCCTTCATCCCTCATCAAGCAAGCCGCTCACCGGCTCACCGGGACCGGACAAGGAGCTGGCTCCATCGTTGCATCTTCGGTGAGCGGGGTGTAGAGGTAGCGGCTAGAAAGGAGCACAAGGAACGTAAGGGTGGCCATCTTTGCAGCATAGCGGTTGCTAACCAGCCAGCCGCCACCCCTGCCACGGGCGTTCCTGCCCAACGTGCGTCTAACATCATCACGTGATGATCCACCTAATTTCCCTTTCCTCCTCTCCTCTGCACTTACTTCTACTTTCTGTTCGATTGAATTGCAAACTGTTAATTGTTTGTTGGCCCGTTTTGTTTCTCATCTTGCTGAGCCTACGGACTCTGTGTGTGTGTGTGTGTGTGTGTGTGTGTGTGTGTGTGCGCGCGCGCGTGCGTGTGGACTCCGTGTGTGTGCGTGCGTGCGTGCGTGCGTGTGTGTGTGTGTGTGTGTGTG